TATGCTTCCTGATGACCCTGAGGAAAGTGTGAGGATATGCTATGCCAGCAATATAGCTAAGCTGGCACTCACTGCTTATGGATTCTTGATACACTCAATGAGCTTGAGTGAGGCAGGTGTCCTCGATGAACTGAGTTTGCCACAGAAGCCGTTGACATCACCCACTCAGGCATCTGGGAGAATGAAGATGATAAATAGTGATGTCCAGCTTCTGCAGCTGAGAAAATCAATTGCAGAGGTTGTTCAAGAACTTGTTATGGGTCCAAAGCAAACACCGAATATTAGGAGAGCACTTCTTCAGGACATCGGTAAACTTTGCTACTTTTTTGGTGTGAGACAAAGTAATGACACACTCTTACCTATCCTTCCTGCCTTCTTAAATGACCGAGATGAGCAATTAAGAACAGTGTTCTATGAAAAGATTGTTTATGTCTGCTTTTTTGTGGGCCAAAGAAGTGTAGAGGAGTATCTATTACCTTACATTGAGCAAGCTTTAAGTGACATGACAGAAGCTGTCATTGTTAGAGCCTTAGAATGTTTAACTATTCTATGCAAAAATGGGTTCTTCCGGAAGAGGATATTGCTTCAAATGATTGAGCGTGCCTTTGCTTTATTGTGCTATCCTAGTGAATGGGTACGAAGATCAGTTGTCTCTTTCATTTCTGCTAGCAGCGAGAGCCTGGGTGCAGTGGATTCTTATGTTTTCCTTGCTCCTGTTATACGACCTTTCCTTCGTAGACAACCTGTGTCTCTTGCTTCAGAGAAAGCTCTTTTGTCATGTTTAAAACCTCCAGTCTCTAGACAGGTTTTCTATGAAGTCTTGGAGAGCTCCAGGAGTTCGGACATGTTAGAAAGACAGAGAAAGATATGGTATAGTTCATCACAGTCTAAAATATGGGAAATGGATTTACTAAAAAAAGGAATGGATGAGTTGGAATCGTTAAAGAACTGGGCTGAGAAGCAACAAGGTTCTGGGGTTCAACAAACTACTGGAACTTCCCTCCAACAGCCAGGGTTAACTGATTGTGACAAAGCTGAGTCTAAATTAAGAGATATGGGGGCCTTTATGCATACTGATAGCAATATGGGGGGACATCGTGATCCCCAATGCTTGGAGAAGTTACAGTTTTCAGGATTTATGTCACCAACCTTTAGTGGTGTAAGCAGTTTGACATATGACAAGCCATCAGAAGGCATACCTTTATACTCCTTCAGTATGGACAGGAGAGGAATGGGAATACCTCCTGCAGCATCTGATTCTCCATTACAAATGAATTCTCTGGGTGTTAGTTCATCTGCAATGCCTTGGGTTAATCCACTTAGTAAGTCCTTTAATTTGGCCAATTCAGTTCCAGCACCCAAGCTTTTTTCAGGTTCTTTTAATATCAGTAATGGTTCTAAACAGTTCCACCGAGTGGTACATGAACCAGATCCCAAGGAAAGTGAGACAGCCTTTGTCAATAGCCCATTTCAAGATTTGGGACTATCTTCTAATAATAAAGGTACATCAATTTCACTTGAAGAAGCTACTGCCCAAGCTGATTTATCAGGATTTCAATCTTTTGCTCGGACATCCATCCCTGATTCTGGGTGGAGGCCGCGTGGGGTGTTGGTTGCACACCTCCAGGAGCACCGTTCAGCAGTCAGTAACATAGCAGTTTCTTATGATCACAGCTTTTTTGTGAGTGCATCAGATGACTCTACAGTCAAGATTTGGGATTCCAAAAGGTTAGAAAAAGACATTTCATTCAGGTCAAAGCTAACTTACCACCTAGAGGGAAGCCGTGCATTATGTGTAGCAATGCTTCCAGGATCAGCGCAAGTGATAGCTGGAGCATCTGATGGATTTATTCATATGTTTTCTGTTGATCATATCTCTAGAGGTCTAGGAAATGTTGTTGAGAAGTACTCTGGTATTGCTGATATCACAAAAAAGGATACTAAAGAAGGTGCCATACTTGGCCTTTTAAATTGCCCCACAGATAATAATAGCATTATGTATAGCACCCAGAACTGTGGCATTCATCTATGGGATACGAGATCAAATTCCAATTCGTGGACGCTAAAGGCTATTCCTGAGGAGGGCTATGCCTTGGCCCTAGCATCAGGATCTTGTTCCAACTGGTTTGTATCAGGGTCGTCCAGGGGTGTAATTACACTTTGGGATCTGAGATTTCTTGTACCTGTAAACTCTTGGAAGTATTCTCCTGCTTGTCCTATAGAAAAGATTTGTTTATTCCTTCCTCCTTCAAATGCTTCTCTATCTTCAACCACTAGGCCCCTTGTTTATGTGGCCGCGGGATGTAATGAAGTTTCGCTTTGGAATGCAGAAAATGCTAGCTGCCACCAGGTATAGAGTAATTATAATTGTTTATAGTAATAAGTGAAAGCAATATGTGCCAGAACAAGCCCTAGTTCTATCAAATATACTGTCTAAATTCAAATTTTTATTTATCCCGAGGATATGTGTTTTTACTGAATTTTACCACCTTTCGTTTTTATGCAAGCACTTTAAGTGTTGTATAAATGATAATTTATCACGGGCTGGTTTGATGATGCTTATATTATGAACCTCTTGCCAGATTGTCATAACTATGTTGAATCCCATGAAATACGTTGATATTTCATATTTACATTACTCTGATTATTTTCTTGTACAAGCAGGTACTGAGGATGGCCAATTATGACAGCGATGCAGAAATGTCCGATATGCCTTGGGCTTTGGCCAAACCATCTAGTAAGCCAACTTCTCAGTCAGATCCAAGACGAAATGTTAATCGCAAGTATAGAGTTGATGAGCTAAATGAACCTCCTCCCCGTCTTCCTGGTATTCGCACACTACTTCCCTTACCAGGGGGTGATTTATTGACTGGTGGCACTGATTTAAAGATACGTCGATGGGATCATTACAGGTTTTGTGTTGAACATTAATCCCGGTTACTTGTTTTTCTTATGAAAATAGTCTGATTGAATTTATTTTATGAACTGTTTCTTTTTTTCAGTCCTGACAGAAGCTACTGCATTTGTGGACCAAGCCTAAAAGGAGTTGGAAATGATGACTTTTACGAAACAAAATCTAGTTTTGGAGTGCAAGTTGTACAGGTAATTTATGTTTCAGCTTATTGTTGTATTCAGCCTTTTTTCGGGATGAGGGGGAGGTTCTCATTCAGCATAGTGGCATAGGCCGTTACATTACATGAAATTATGGTTGGTATAGCTGGTTTTGAACGCGTCAAATTGTACACTTCTGGTTGGATCAGCTAAACAGTTCCTTTTTATTTTCACCAAGTTACTTCTGTTCCAACTGCCTGAAATCAGTTAGTGTTTCCTTTGCTGGACAAATCAAGAAATTAAACTTACCTAGCTATCATGAATATTTGCTTAAATAGTTTTTATGCATGTATTTTTTCTAGTTCAAATTTTAGCCAGCCTCCATTTAAGTTTTCTATTATTACAGAAACAGAGAAAATATTGATGTGTGAATGTTACACATTTTAAATCAGCTTTAAATAGGTTATTTCTACATTATGCATTTCTTTGTAAAAGTTATTTCATTTATCTTAAATCTAAAATGATAACGGAAATAAGGGGGAGTGGCCTGTGGGATCAAATCAATGTTTGACAGGAATCTGTACTTTCTTCAGTACAATGTTTTCCAATGGCCAAAATCTTCTGTTACTCCAGTGATTGTTTTACTTTTACTGGTTAAATTTATTTTACCATCTAAATGCTGTTGGATATTGCTTGTTTCTTCTTTAAGGCTTAAACTTACCAACTTGTTTAGAATATAAGCAACAAAAATTTAACCTTCTACTCTTGTTTGAACAGGAGACAAAGAGACGTCCTCTTGCAGCCAAGCTGACACCAAAGGCAATTCTTGCAGCTGCTGCTACTGATTCTGCCGGTTGTCATCGTGATTCTGTAGTTTCTGTGGCTTCGGTTAAGTTAAACCAGAGACTTCTACTTTCAAGTGGTAGAGATGGGGCCATCAAGGTTTGGAAGTAAATTACTAAAGTTCATCTTGGCATTGTTGCACATAATTAGCAATTCCTGGTAGCTAGAACTGACTGTACATAAAGTAAGTTATAGGAACTAACCAATCAAACCTTCATTATAGCCCCCCTTCCCTTGATTTTGCCAAATTTTTGATGTACCCTTGATCTGTACAGCAGGTATTGTTAATAGAGAATTAGATAAGTTTGTTAAGATTAGAGTGTTGATGATGCCAGTAGTAGGCAAGATTATCTTGTGTTTTATTTATTTAAATACACTTTTTGATAGAGCACACAAGTTTCTTTGAAGGTATCTTCTTGGCTGGCCTGATGATTTCACTTGAAGGTAAATTACCTGTTTTCTTAAGATGTTCCTAGTTTTGTGGCTCTAATTAGTTTATTACAATTGTTCACTTCATGTAACCATTAGTGATAACAAGGAAAGTTTCTCTCATCCATAAATACAGATCGTTGTTAGTTGCGTGTCTATTTTTAATTTCTATGTCCTTTTTTCTATTTCATTTCTCATCCTTCCATGGCTTACCTTTGTTTTCTGTGTTGGATGATTAGTAAGATTTCTATATAACAGCATGCTCAAAAATTGAGTATAGGTTGGCTCAGATGAATGTAAGAACATGTTCAACAATTGAGTATGGATTGGCTCAAATGAATGAGGTTTTTCAACCGATTTCCGAACACATGATCATCCATTTGTCCGATAATTCTGTGAATGATATATTCAGATTGCTTGATAGTAGGAAGCCGATATGTTAATTATTTTTTTGCAGATTGTCTAGATTTGTAATTCTCACAAGTCTTACAAATATGTTGAAGATAAAAAAAAAACCCGATTTGGACAAGAGGTTTACTAGTTGACAGCCTTGTATCGTGCATGAGAGCAATTAAATTGCAACTAGTCTATGAAATTGCAAGTTATGAAATATTTATTCATCATCCATTATATTTATTGTTGTGCTGTCAATGGAAACCATATAGGTAAAATAATATTCATGTTAGTTGACCCGAAAGAACTAACGAAGCATGTCTGATGACTCTTGCAACTCTCCAAACTTCGTGTTGTACTTGACGCCATGATTCTGCAGTACGTAGTTTTTTAGCCATTTGTACAGCATCACCAATTCCAGGGAATGTTTGAGAGCCATAGCCATTATGTTTAGATGGTCCATAGATCTGAAAAACAGAGGAAAAAGAAATTAAGTTGAAGTTTTCGTAACTTTTCAATAAAATGTTTGCTTTTTAGGATAAAGAAAAGTCCCTAAAAAAGAGGTACCAAATGTTTATGCCATTGCATTCCAGAGAGACCATCTCTGTCAGTAAATGCACGCTCAGCCATCATCAGTCTATCATTTAGTTCCCTCACTTTCAAATGCTCCATCTTCCATGTTCTCCAATTTTCACTTGCTTCAAGTTTCTGAAAAAACACATTTTAACATTCTATCTCCACATTGAGTTGTATAATAATTATGTTAAGGTTTAAAGTTACTCAAACGACATACCTCTATTTGGTTATTTATCCTGGTTGCTGCTTTTTTAAGCTCCATGATAGACTTATACATAGGAGACAAATTTATATCCTTATTTGAAATCTCATTCTCCAGTTCCTCCATGTTAAGCTAACATTCAAAATTTTGATGTAAGTATATTTTGATTCTCTCAAATTTAATGAAAATGGTCTTTGTGACTACAAATGTTTAATCAAATCACCTTAAGCTCCCTAGCATATGATAAATAATTAAAAGGTAAGAATTCCTCATCTGCTAGCCAAAGTGCTACTAGACCCCAAACACTTGCAGCTGTTTTCCATGACATAAACAATTTATTAGGGTAACTAAAACACCCAAAACTAAATTTTAGATATCACTAGTCTCAAATACCAACCTGCAACATGTCTTTGAAACATAGGATCACCAAATTTTTTCATCCAGACGAAATCATCATATAGTGAATGGTATACTGGATACCCTGCAACATATTTGAAATATATTTTTTTTTCATATTGTTGGTGTGACAAATCAAAATTCTGTGTATAGAAAAAAATGAAATTATTGATATGATTAAAAAAATTAAATTTGTGTTTTACATTCTCCAAAGGACATATCAGTTGCTGGAATTCCCACATGCTGTAGAAAAGCTTTATAATCTGATCCTCCACCTCCTAACCTTCCAAACTTTTAAATAAGCGTATTAGAACTTCGTAATCACACATATAAAGATGAAGAATCAAATTCGTTACAAACTTTATAAATATTCATTCATGATTTGAGCTTACAAACACGTTATAGCGAAGTTAGTTAACTAGTTACTTGCACAACAAGTAATTTACCAGAGGAGAGCTACCAGAGCTAGTTAAAGAATCATAGATGCTCTGAGATGAGTTATTCGGATCTTTCACCTGCAAAAGAAAAAATAAACTCATCATTGACACAAGTGTTGGTTAAGAAATGAGATAATTCAAGATGTTTTTTATTGAACTTTTTTTGCCATACTTTCTGAATAGCTTTTTTGATCAATTCATCAAGCTGTGGAGTAGCACTGACATGGAACCCTGGTCCAGCTACTGCACAGTCAACATTCAAGTAAGCAACTGCTCTTGAAGTAAGAATTTCTCTATTCTCTTCTACCCATTCTGTTGATCCAATCTGTAAGAAATGAATGTGTGTCAAATTTTGAAAATTTGAGTGCAAGAAATATAGAAAAGAATGAGAAAGAAAAAAATTATTACTAGACCATATTCCTCAGCATCCCAATTGCATAATATGATTGTTCTTCTAGGCTTCCACCCTCTTTCCTGAAGCTTCCCTAATCTTTGTGCTACCTGAATTTTCATTTCACATGTCACTTTTTTCTTACTCTTTGATGATTAATCATGGTTGTCAAATTTGTCTTCAACTATAACTAGGACCGTTGAAAAAAACCGCACCGAAAAGAGACTACTGACTGACAATTCATGAACTAAACTAAACTAAGTCGGTTCAGTTCGTGAACCATCCCTCATAAATCAATTATTTTTGTTGTGAATTGGTTTGATTTTTGGTTTATTCTATTTGGTTTTGTGTAAAGATAGTTATGGTTTGGTTCAAAACACTGAACTTTTATACCAATTTAGTTTCGGGCGAACCATATCCATGTCAACGGTTCGGTTTTCCCGCCTTAAAAATCACGGACAAGATGATTTTCAATGGTTTAATGTGTGAAAAGTGCATCAAGATTATAGTCATAGACAAAACCATGTGTAGAAAGCCATTGTTACCTCAAGTAGTGTTGCCGTGCCACTATTAGGATCAACTGCTCCAAAAGTCCATGCATCTCTATGGTTACCTAAGATCACAAATCTACAAAAAAGTTGCAAAAGTTACTAAGTAGAAGTTTTCATTGAAAACAAGAATGAATTTTCTATAGTCCTCAATCTTAAGCTGCATCATCACATATCATTGCCATTGAATGATTCAAATGATAAGGAGAAACTTTTTCATACCTGTCAGGCTCTTCTGTTCCTTCAATCACACCAATCACATTCTCAATTCTTGCTATAACATCCTTCCCCTGAAAACCAATATCCAAATTCCTTCAAAAAACATTATTCAATAGGAATTTAATGAGCGGATATATAAGCACTTATACGATACCGTGTAACTGAGATTGAGAATCCCTGGTCCCGGTCCAACCCTATAAGTAGGTGCATCTTTACTTCCCTGCCAATCATCTTCAGCAACAGGACCACCAATTGACCTAATTATCTTTTCTCCGTCTTCACCCGACACCGGCAATGAAGGTATCAAAGGAAGATCACCACTTTTCTCAACTTCATCTTTTGATATTCTCTCACACGTGCCACTACTAGCCCAACCAGGTGTTGTAGGATCTCCAGTCCCACCATAAACACTCCCAACCTGAACGCCGCTTGGTGGCAACCATTTTTCATCAGGAAACCACTTTGTTCCACCACCACCGCCGCCATAGTCCTTTTTATCCGAATATATCACAACTCCTATAGCACCTTCATCATATGCATTCTTCACAATGTCTCCTCTAAAGATCTTTCCATACTTCGCCAAAACAACCGTGTTTGAAACATTGATTCCTATTTCTTTGAGTTTCAAATAGTCCTCCACCCTTCCATAGTTTGCGTAAACCACAGAACCAACAGCCGTACCTTGTTAGTTCAGTGGTAAGAGTTTGATTTTGTAATCTCAAATAACAGAATTCAAAATTACTCAAGAACGTTATTTTAGTAGTACCTGACTTAGCATATGCATGGAATGTCGGGGCAACTTCATCGGCCACATCAGCGTAAGGATCACCTTCATAAACTTGTTGACTAAGGTTAAAGCTAACGGAAGAAGATTCTGAAGATGATTTTGTCAAGACCAATGAACGAGAAACAGGATATGTAAGAGCAACATCATAGGATGTTACACGGGAAAGTATGTTACATGAAGTAAGTACTGAGACAACATAAGCTGCAGCTTCATTGTTGGCTTCAGAACCTGCTATGTGAGGCCTATGTGTGAGAATTTCAAGGTTGTTGGATATCGAAACATTATCTGATAAAGAATTTGATATAAAGAGAGAATGATAATAGGTAGAATTCTTGGTTGGAGTAGCTAGAAGTAACAAGTAAGAAGTGCTTATGGCTAATAAGGTGATAGTTGCTTTGATCATTGTATAGGCTTTGGAGAAAAGTAACCGATTCTACTACTGCATAATTTGGTGGTTATGTAGTGTTTTTTTTGTTCTTAGCTTTTTTGATTTTTTTAAGTGCTTAATGTATGATAAGTTTCTTGGTTTTTATGGATTGCTTGTTTGGGAGAGATAGAGATGAAGATAAAGATAGAATTTTATGTAATTTGAAACTGATTGATCAAGAAACATAATTTATTGTTATTGTCTCAACCGATATATGTTGCTTTCTATGTTTTGGCTTCATTATTATGTGACTTAGCATAATATTAACCTTTAATTTGTTATCAATAGGTACCTGTTGAGAATCGATTACAAATCAATAGTATGTGCTGAGATTTCGATTACAAATTAATTAGTATTGATTTGCATTTAATTAATCATAAATGTAAATTATGTTATTACCTATTGCGTATACCTATTTTGTATATATAAATATATAACATGTGTGATCATATTTGACACACCGAAATACAATCACAACATGGTATCTAGAGTTGGCTAACCCAATGTCTTCTAGAATTTTTTTTCGTTTCCGCAAAAAATTCGGCTATTCACGGCACTGCACGAGCGCACCACCGCTCCCGACGAATTTTTCGGTGAAGTAACCATACCGCCGACATCATTTTCTTCCGATCGATCGGTACCCAAAATCGTCGCCGCGATCCGCCTTACGACTCGCCCTCATGCCGCCTGCACGTGGATCTCACCGCTGCCCTTCCATCCCCGCGTGACAGCGCGCCCTGCCGCCCTTGCCGTAGCTGTTTTCGTCGCCGACGCCGCCTTCCTGTGCTCTTTCAACATCTGCTCTCGGTTTTTCCATTCAAGCAACCAAAAATCATGAGAGATATCGATTCCACCACTTTTACAAAGGTTCCACTTATCCTGCGTGAGAAACTCACCAGAGTAGCCAACTATAATATATGGACTGATGCTGTCAAAATGTGGTTTCATGGTCAAGGACATGAACATCACTTAACTACAAAATCAGAAAATATTTATGCCGCCAAACGTGATAAGTGGAAACAAACAGATGTTTTTCTGTACACTATGTTATGGTTTTTTATACCAACTAATTTCCAAGCACAATACCAAACCTTTACACTTGCTATGAGGTTTGAGAAAAAGCTAAGAAAGTGTTCTTCAATGATGTTCACAATCTTTACAGTGTCATCACCAAACTCAACTCTTTAAAATTGGAAAATATGGATATGTAAGCCTATTTGAGTAAGCTTGATGCGTTAAAGGAAAATTTTACAATCCTAATGCCCTTTACCAAAGACCCAACAACTTATGATGAACAACAAAGTAAGTATTTTATGATAGTGGTACTTGCTGGACTACCATCAGAGCTTGATTCCGTCCGGAACCAGATTTTATCAGGATTCAATTAACTATGAAGTCGTTAGTGAACAACTGTTGCGTTTGGCTACACCTCACACATTTGGACTAGTCTCCACTTCATCTCCCACTGAATCATCTGCTCTTACTTCCCACTATCATGGTCGCGGTGGACGAATTAGAGGATGGGGTGGACAACATCATGGTATTCGTTATAACTATTGCAATCGTTACAGTCACATTAAAGCTGATTGTCGTACAAGGGCAAGAGAACAACAACGACAACCAAGGGTCGCTACCGCTGCTCAACCAGACAACATTAAAGACATTACTATTCCTGCTGCTGACTACAATGATTTTCTCCAATTCAAAGCAGCCCATCAACCATCATCATTTGCCGTTGTTGCTCAGTCGGGTAATCCTGTAGCCTTTGTATCTACATATTTTCTTGGTCCTTTGGTCCTTGACTCTGGTTCCTCTGATCATATGACTGGTAATAAATCCCTTTTATCTCACTTGTCTTATTCTGATTCTTTGCCTTTTGCCACCGTGGCTGATGGTTCTAAAATCAAAGTTCAAGACCTTAGTCAGGCACACCCACTTTCAAACCTGTCTTCAAAGTCTGTTTTTTACATTCCTGGTTGTCCTTTTAATCTGACATTTGTTCAAAAGCTTACTCGTACTCTTGATTATTCAGTCATTTTTAATGATAATTCTGTCCATGTCTAGGATCGATGTACAGGATGGACAATTGGAGCAGGGAGTGAATCTGGAGAATTATATCATCTATCTCCGTCGGTGGCATGTGGTTCGATTGATTCTCAAGACCTTACACATCAACGTTTGGGTCACCCTAGTCTTAATAAAATGCTTCTTTTAGTTCTTGGTTTTTCTAGCCTTTCATCTTTTGAGTGTCAGTCGTGTCAATTAGGCAAACATACTCGTAGTACTTACTATAACATCCCATATTTATTGAAATATTTATTTAATTTATTTAAATATGAATATTCGTATTTTTGGTGATTTTCGGTGGTTGGTGAGAATATTGAGAATTATGGATTTTGAGTTATTTATTTAAATAATAGTATATAATATAAATATATTGGTATTATTATTAATTTAAATAAATATAAGTGAATTGAGGGCAAAGTTAACTTTTGAGAAGGAGTTAGTGAGGGTGAAATTGGAAAGCCCAATTTAAGGCCCAAAGTTAGGTTTAACAAAAAGGAATTTTGAGGGAATTAGGATTCATTCTTGTTAGACAGTGAAAAGGGAAGAAATAGAGGCCAGAGCTCTGAGAAAGAGGATTGAGGCAAAGCTTCGCGAGATTTTCAAGAATCAAGGAGAAAGGCTTAGAGTCGGCAATTAAGGTATGAGGAGTATTTCCTTCATTGTTTTCAATATGTGATTCAATGTATTTAAAGCCGATTTAAGGGTTTAGGAATTTGAGTATTAAATTGTTGTTGCCTTTCTGATGAGTTTAATGAGTTTAAGAGATTTGAACAGATGGTCCGATAGGTTTGAGGCTGATTTGAGAGTAAGGGAAATTAGGCCTTCGTGGCCAAATCTGTTGTTGAGGTTGTTTAACCGTATAGGGTAAGTGATTGTGAGAACTTTAATGACTGTGGGGTATTTGTAAGAAATTATGGGAATTGGAGGCGTAAATAGGATACGGGATTGGCCTAATAAGTCGTAGATTTTGTTCCTTTATCGCCGTAATACCTTAGGAATGATTTAGGGATGTTTTTGGGGAATTGGGGAAGGGAATCGTAGGGATCTTTGGGGTGGTTTTGCTACTGGTGCGTAACAGCGATTTGCTGTAATCGCGAGTTCGCACGACGAACATTCACCCCAGACTCGCACGGCAAACTTGCCAGCGAACGTAGCAGAGTTTCGCGAATTATGTTCTGGTTCAGTGATGTCTTGATGTTTTGATGCTGTGATTTTCCTGATGAGTTACCATGAGTATAATTGTGATTCCTATGTGATTAAATGAATGTATGATGAATTACTATGAGTATAGATGTGATTCCTATGTGATTAATACATGACCGTATGATGAGTACCCATGAGTATAATTGTCATGCTTATGAGATTAATACATGATTGCATGATGAATCCCCATGAGAAACTGTGATGATTTGTGACGTTGATTCCATGAGGTTTTGATGATTTATGATGACGTGATTATTATGATTATTTTGATGAATGATGATGCATCTAATGAGATTATTATGAGGATGATATTGACGTGTGCATCATGAATTCATATGCATTCCGGACTTCGGTCTAGTGTTTGATTCTTGTGGCTTCAATCCCATTGTGCGGGTGTGAAGTGTTTTGTTGTGCTCCGGTTCTTGTGTAGAATCGATCTTATTGATGGGGATCTATGGAGGATTGATCGCCCAGTCTCCATCGAATTTTGTTGAATTGGTACCACATGCACGAGTCTTGTTGCATTTGCACTTGTATGACAATTTGGTGTAATTTATGATGTTGTGGCTTTTGATGTTCCTTGATGATTATGATGATGTTAGATATGAAAATGACACTATTGTATATATTGATTCTTATATTTATTATTATAAATCGTTTTACTTACCCTGCCTGTTTGAATGTTGCTTCCATATGGATAACGTGCAGATGACCAGATTTAGCCGTGGATGCCGTCGAGGACCTTTTGGAGTTTTTGACTTTTGGTTGACTTAGAGGGTCTTGCTCTGATAGTGTAACATTGGATTGGGGTCTTTGAGTCAAACTATATTTTATTGAGTTTTTGCTCTGTTGAATTCCTTGCGGTGAAAAGAAAATTTTGAATTTTGATTTTCGAGTTCCGCTGCCAATTGAGCACTTTTGAGTAATTTTGAGAAAACCCGTCGCTTACGGAGCATTGACTTTTATTTGAGTTATTGAGAAATGTACCCTATTTGAGGTGATTTTTATTGTGTTTAATATTTTACTCTGATAAATATGATTGATTTGCCATTATATTTGTGGGGTAGAAAAGAGTGTTACACTTACTGTCAACGAGTAAATAAAAGTGTTACATCACTTTTTGCTTTAGTTCATTTTGATATTTAGGGTCCTAGCCATGTGAAGTCTACCTTAGGATGTTACTATTTTATAACTTTCATCGATGATTTATCACGACGTACTTGGTTATTTCTAATGAAAAATCGTTCAGATGTTTTCCTTATATCCCAAGAGTTTTATGCTGATATTAAAAACCAGTTTAACACTTCCATTAAAATTTTACGCACTGATAATGTTTGTGAATATATGTCATCTTAGTTTCAATCTTTTTTAACATCACAAGAAATTATTCACCAATCATCATGTGCTCATACACCACAACAAAACGGTGTTGCTGAATGGAAGAAGCATCATTTAGTTGAAACCACACAGACTATTTTACTTCACCACAATGTACCTTCTCGTTTTTGGGGGTGATGCTCTCCTCACAGCCTGTCACCTTATCAACCGAATGCCTTCATTGGTCCTTTAAGATCAGATTCCATACTCTATCTTGAATCCACAACATGACCTCTACCCCATTCCGCTTCGCGTCTTTGGTTGCACATGCTTTGTTCATGATCTTAGTCCAGGTAAAGACAAACTCTCTGCCAAATCTCTAAAATATA